CTCTAATTATTGTTTGATAAATTGTCTTTAATTACCTTTTCTTCGTCGTGTCGAGAAGGTTAATTCTAAAGAAACCTTCCTTTTTATGTTATATTGGAAATGAGTTTTCAAGCATACATGCTACTTCTTTAAGCAATTATATTAGATATTTGTATCTAGAAGCTAGTTGAGCCAAGTCATTAGCAACCTTGTAATGTTTTCTTTGGATGTGTTTAATTTTCACATTATCAAATACTTGGAGTAAATAGCTTGCTTGCTTGCAAAAATATTGCAAATTGGAGTTTGGGACTTATATTTTCCATTCAAATGGTTTATAACTAGTTGTAAATCTCTTATCACTTATATAGTTTTAACTCTATGGTTAATAGAGTTTCTAAGCCTACAATGAGAGCTTTATGTTTTATTTTGTTATGATCTGTAAGTGTCTTGCAATTTGAATGCTATTTTGGTGATTAATCTACAAGGCGGTTAACAATATTCCAACTTTAGAGTCCTCACCAGTATTGGATCCATTGAAAAAAATCTCTTTAGTGTTAGTTCCATTGTTAAGGCATTATTATCATATTCTATAAGATCTATAGAGGGTGATCAACTATAAAATTGGCTATTGATTGACCTTTTATTAATTTTTGTAGAACATGCAGCATGTCATATTCAACTAGAGAAAAGCTCTATTTACTAATTCTACCAAAAACGATTAGTGTATTCAATATATACTTAATTACATATGTTTGTAAAATTAACTATATAACATGAGACATCAAATAATATCTTAACTTTGTTGTTACATGGTACAATGATAGACATAATTTTTTTATCGGATAGTATTTAGTTTCGGCATCATTTAGTATTCTACCTAAATAGAATATAGCTTGCTCTTGTCCTTGTTTGTTGTCTAGGTCAAGCTAGCCGCAAATGGAATTTTCTATTATTATAATATACAGTTTCAATGGTTTTTCTTACTCTAGAGGTAATAGGACATGTGGCCTTGATAAGTAGTTTTGGATCTTATCGAAGGCTTCCTAGTGTTCTGCCTTCCATTCTAAGTCTTTCTCTAACTTGATCTTTAACAAAGGCGCAAAGATTTTATTTTTTACTATAAGATTAGAAATAAACCTCATTTGATAATCAATTGACCCATAAAAATTCTACAATTTTTTGGAGGTTTTGCTTTGATCATAGCTTTTTTCTTATTTTCCTCACCTCTATGTCTCTATTGTGGATGAAGAATCTTAAAAGATTTCCTATAGAAACTCCAAAAAAACATTTTAGTGGATTGAGTTTAGTTTATATTTTTCTCATCCTCGAGAAGGCTTCTTAATTTGAAGCCAATAAAAAAAGGAGATTATGAAGAAAAGCCCATTGAAGAATCCGTTTGGATGTTTTTTTTTTCATTTATTAGGTCAAAGCCACAAATTAAATTTTGGTATAACAAATTCCCTAATAGATTAATAGATAATTTTAGGTCATCTTAATTTGTGGGATTGATGTGTTTGAACTAATTTACTGAATTGGTTTGGCAATTAATTGAAGAATGACAAAGTATTTGAATTTGGCTAAATCCACAAGGACAATACTGGCAAGAAGGTTTAATGAAGAGATGGTGCATTGGTTATGAATAGGTGTTGATTTTGCAGAGCTACTCTATATTTCTACTTAGATGTTCTAATTTCTTGAACATGTATTGTCTTGAGTATTCATCAATTGCATATTTTGATTTCCAAGCTATATAAATATACTTTTTTATTCAAATTTTCTATTTTTATTTACAGTAAAATTTCTGGTGTTCAACCTTCAAACAAATGATTATTCGATATAATTTAAATATGTAAAATAAATAAATAAAATGATAAAAATTATTACAAAAAATTAAAAGGAGAACGTAGGATTTCTCTCCGATAACAATATATATTCATTAGTGGCGAACACAATTGCCTCTATAAACATTAGAGGCGCAATTAATCGTCGGAAAAGCAGGAAATATGGGCATTCGATGGTGGCATATCCATCTGTCATTCTGTCGCAATAGACCTTTATCTACGAAGGTATCCCGACCAACATGTGAATTGCTACAGTAGCATCTGGAGGCCTTTTGACCACTGTTTTGTGGCAGATACATTTGTCACTCTATACCTCTTTTCTTGTAGTGGCTCCAGCCACTACCAGTAGCTAGTTTAATCAAATTTCATTAAAGCTCGCCAAGTGGTGAGCAAGTTTGGCAGGCAAAATCATTTGGGGTGAAAATAATGGTGAAATTAGATTGGCTAAAATATTGTCATGGGGTAGTAGGGATGGTAAAACAGATAAATCTCTTATCGAAAGCACATGGGCAAGGTACGTATTCCATGATTCAATCCACCACTGAATAAGGTATCTCAGCACTCAGGTAATGACATGAACGACCATCTGTCTATCTGGACTACTCACGCAAGCAAGTAGTCGCCTATATAGTGGAGGATTACCATTCTCTTCTCTTCATTCTTTATTCACGGTTCTTGTGAAGCCTATCTGTTGCAAGAAAATGCGGATACCATGACCCTATGAGAGAGGGAGAGACAGAGTTTGTGTGTTCTTTGAGGACAAAGACATCATCATTAGAGATTTGAGTGAGTTTTACGAGGGCTAAAAGTGGCTTATGGCATTATAGCCTTTTTGACAAGTTATACTCGCAACATTGACTTTGTTCCTATTGCTTTGGAAATTGCGAGGGGCCATAGGAGCACTCGCTGTCACATATTTGTGCACCGTTGGAAGTGCAAATTGTCACTGCGAAGCATTACTTTTGAGGTTAGCAAAGAGTGTGGGCACATCGACAACTTGTGAATTATTGAAGTTTTAGTGGCAAAACGTAATGAAAATCACTACAACGTTTCCCTTTCTAGTTTGATCAGATCAATTTCTAGCTTGATCAGATCAACTCAAGTCCTGTTCAATCACCACGATTGATTACTGAATTAAATATCACTCTGATAAATACAAAATTTTCCTTCAAATGTTATGTGGAAATCATAACTTCCAAAACTTCGTCGATTTTGGAAGATCTGATGAAAAATGGTACTCAGCATTTTGAGATAAAAATAAATGTATTGTCGTACATTTATTTATAAGTTGGGATTTTTAATTAGAGATTTAAAATTTACAAGATCATGACAAATCTGAACTACAGATTTTTAAAGACGGAACTATTCTCATTTTTGCAGCCTAAAACCCATCAAGAGCCTTCCAGGGAACTAAAAGAACGAACGAAAGCACTAAATTAAGGTAGAAATACCTAGCAAGTCCAGAACAATTTTACAAGCATATTCAGACGCTACATTTGTCTAATTATATGACCAAAAAGGGCATTACTTCGCTTCCATGCATTCTTTCAAATTGCCCTGCACGTGGGTTTTAACTTTCAATGAAATTAATTGGTTGCGATTAGGTCTTATAGAGCTTCTGAAGGACCTATCACAAGTCATACACATGCATAAAGAGGTTTCAAAATGAGAAAGAACGGATCCAGGTCACCATCATGGGAGAAAGAACGAAGCCAGGTCACCGTCAGGGGTCTAGATGGCTAGCTATGATCAGGATAGTGTATATTGCATCGGCTCTACGGGAAAAAAAATAATTAAAGACGAATGTGGCAATTTTATTGCCATCGCTTTCATTAATTGCAGAAGCTCTTGATACCCTTTTTGTTGAAAGCAATGGATGCATTCAGCAATGGAAAATGCTTCATAGCAATGCAATTCATCAAAATTCTTCTGGAAAGGTCGGTCGAGTGCGACCCGCAGGATGATAGGTATGGCTGCCTAATGGGCTTGATCACATTGTCTGTTCCTTGCAAGTTGACCCAGTGAAAACTAATTTGCAACATTCAGGGTAAGTGATTGATTCACGACCATGTATTTAATTATATCCTGAAATTAGAAAGGCGAGTGGCCTTACAAAGGTAAGTAGGTCACATTTGCACTACTTCTTTATTTTTTATGCACTTTCTCTTGTCCAATTACTTTGATCATCCGATCCTTGAGTACGGCTTAACTATCAGTTTTGACACAATATTTTCAAATTTAGTGTGTGTGTGTGTGTGTATATATATATATATATATATATATATATATCACGCTAACACTCTTGATTAGGAGGGTCATTTCCTAAATAATGGAATAATTGTGGATGTAGTTACATGGACTGTTATCTGTAGCCAAGCGATGGTCTGTTGGAAATTCATAGACAATTAATGCAATGGTAGACATCTATTGGTACATGTGGAGGCAAGCACGATTAGGCCTTGTATAATTCCAGGAATTACTCTCGACCTGCATTATTGGTAATTGAACAGTAGATGAGACTGAATTGAACGACATATTTTGTACAGCTTCTGTACCGTGTGGTATTTGTACAGCTCTTTGGGGGCCTATTTCCTCAAGAAAACTAGCTGCTAAAGCACTTACATATTACATTTACATAATGGTGTTCAAAGCTTTAAGACAATAATTTATCGAACTGAAAAAAAGAAAAAAGAAAAAAAAGGGCATGCACCAGCCCCTTTGTCCTGTTGCTTGTAACCACTGCAACATTTACGTTGTCATTTAATTAGTGTAAAGCCTCAATCAAGTAATTCACATATATAAATGCTCCATTAAAAACCTTTAGTAATGTAAGATGTTGAGTTCAAATCCAAATGTCAGAAAACAATATCCAATAATGTAAACTGGCTATATATACATATATATCAGCAAATTAGTAAGCAAGAATACCCAACCACGTGAATTTCCAACTAAATATTCTCAATAAAACCCAGGTCCGAGGCTGAAATGACAATACCATCTTGCCAGCTAAGTATGGACCTACATTTCACATGAGCAAAGTTCCAAAGATCATTTATTTGATTGGAACAACACAGCATATCCAACGATTTAATCCATGCACCCAAGTTGCTCTCTCACTTCACTGCAAATTTGCTACTTACAAAACTTACTTCATACATGCATGCTAGCTAACTTTCTTCCATGGCCACCCAATTTGTTTGCCTTACCTCACTCCAACTCCTCAAGAGCAAGAATCGGTTTACTCGAACTGCAACTCATGGAGAAAGAGTAACCAAATTGCTTTCAATCGATCAACAAAGTTCAAGTTATAGACACACAAACAATGGTGTTAAGTCGGAAAATAGCTCAGGTACTGTAGATGGCGAAGAAATGAATATGCCTAATAAGGTTCAAAAGAGAAAGAGATGTCGCCGTTGGGCACGAGAGCTTCCTCGGTATTTAGGGTTGTGGTACGCGTCATCTTCCATAAGCTACATCCTCAGGAAGGCAAGAGCATTTTACAATGAGTTTTGTTGTGATAATTTCTTTGATGATTCATTACTCATGGGACATGAGTTGTTGGCTGATCCTTATTTCTCTTTTCCTGTTATTCCACCACCAACTATTGCACCCCATCATGTAATTAATTAATTAATTAAAGCAGTACTTGGGGATGGAGAAAACCAACCAAATTAATGTTATTCTAATGATAAGCATAAAACCCACTACCATGTATTACTACTGTCTTCATCTTTGTGCCACTACTACTCTTTTTTTTTTTTCCCTAATGGGATATGTAATAAATATGTGAAGAGATATATATATTGTTATGTTGTTATTCATCACAACTGATAGCAGATAGCGAAGGATCACAGGGCCGGGATAAAGGTCTCTTTTTTTTTTTTTTTTAATTCATGCATTCAAGGCTTCTAGTAAATTAATATTTTAAGATTTGAACCCGTAATCTCGTTTTGTAAACGATAATTATCATTAAACTATAAGATCTTCGGTCGAGATAAAGGTCTTGGATCAGGCTATTTAGACTTTGATTGTACTATTTATTTTGATCCAGGCCTTGTTGCCTTTTCTGTTTCTTCTGTGAAATACCTTTCTGCTAGTGATGGGTTCTGTAATGATTAAAAAAACAATCATGTTATGTTTAATTAAGGATACCCTTACAGTAAAAAAAAAAAAAAATCCGCAGTCCATTTCAAATAAAGTCTATGTAGAATCTTTCCTATTTCTTGCAACTAGAGTTAATAAATTTTGAGTTGAATACGACAAAATGTTCATGAAAGAAGATCTTTCAAGATTATAATTGCATGTATCAAGATGTAAAACCCTTAGTTGACGTTAGTAATTAATTAATTTGTTTGTGGTTAATCTTGTGCTTGGCTAACATGTCTATAATTCCATTCCTATATAGATCCTAAGTAATAATCAATAAACAAAGATAACAAAATGAAGTAAAATAAAATAAAACAATCACTACATCTTGATAAGTCACTAAACAAGGACCCCAAATATCAAAACGAACTAACTCACAATATGACATAACTCGTTTATTGACTCTAGGAAAATACAATACACGATGATGTTTAGCAAACTAACATATGCTAAAATAGATAAATCATGAAATTGAGAAAATAATTTTTTTAAAACAAACAAAGAAGGATGTCTTAACCGATAATGTAACTCAAAAGGTGTTCTTATAACACCGGAATAGGCGATAGGTCATAATATAGGTTGTGATATAGGTTGAAGATGCTATAGCCCTCCGGACTCATGTCCTCAACCAATAATCTTCCTCAACGTAAGATCTTGAAATAAAAAATAGTCGAAAAAAATAAAACACAACAATTGAGAGCTCGAGTGATTTTATTAACCGAAAGTAGATTAAATGAAAAATTTGATAAACATAAGATAGATGATAAAGAGAAAGATAATGTAGGAAGAGTCGTTCCAATTCCTATAACGGATGTGGTTGACTCATCATCCGGAATGACACTAGGAAGATTTTTGTGTGAAACGAAGAAAGAAAGAATATCTTTATTATCCGTCATGTGATCCGTAGCACCTAATTCAATAACCCATTTGAAAGAGGATGACATAAGACATGTAGTAGGTTTACTTGTTTCATCATTGATAGCCGAAAGAGGATTGGAAGACTTTAACAAGGATTGATATCGACTAAACTTAGTAAAGTCATCGGTAGACACCGTTATAGACTTATCAAATGAGGAAGAGGCGGGGCTAGCCTCTTGGGTTGTAAATTTTATAGTATGAACTAACTTTTGGGTTTTTCCATGAAGTTTCCAATATGTATGTCTTGTATGACCGGGATCTCCACAAAAATAGCATGTTATTGGGCTATTTTGATCATTTTATATGTGACTACTATTTCCTCCATAAGTACCACTCCTATCACCTAGAAAATAAGAATTATGTTGGCCACCTCTGCCATTTTGACCTCTTTGACCTCCCGCATTCCAACTATCTCGACTCACAAGGGCACTAGTAATACTAGAAGAAGGTTGAAATGTCTCTATACATAAGATTTTAATGAAGGTGTCATGAAGAGAGACAACTTATGGACTAAAAAGGATTTGTGTATGAGCAGACATCAAATTCGAGTGTTAAGCCTATAACAAAACTCATGACGACCATCTCGCTCATGTTGAGATTGTTGAGCCTTCACATTAATACCAAAAGGAAGGAAAGATTTCAACTCCTCATAAGCTCGTTTGAAATTCATGAAATATTCGATGAAGGTTTCTATCCCGCTTTTCCGGACAATAGAACTCTTTGCATATATCATAAATATGAGAAAGATTACCCTTACTAGAATATAAAAACCCCAAATAATCCATAAGATCTTTAACAAACTCACGGTGACTAACCGGACCAATTACCTTACTCGCTAATCGAGTTTTGAATCGCAGATATATTCCGACATCCGCTCTTAACCAAGCCTTCTTTTCCACATCATTAGTTGGGGGATCATCAATAAGATGTTCATCTTGATCAAGGGTCGAAGATACATGCGCACCATTTTACTCAAATATAAAAAATTTCATCCATTGAGTTTATGTTCTATAATCTTTGTTGTTGTAGCAACAGCAGAGATCACAGCTTTTCTTCTCTGTCTCATCATCCATTAAACAAAAAGAAAGAAAGAAGATAGGGCGACAAGGTCACGGTGGCTAACTAGGGCAATAACAAAAAGAAAAAAATATATGATAACTCACTAAGACAATGGCGATAGCTACTCAATTAAGGCGACGAGCTTTGATACCATCTAAAAATATGAGAATAGAGCAATATGTTTCACATTTTGAAATGCATGAGTATAACATGTATATATACGTGTCTAGGATCAATCTATATCCCTAGAATAAAGATATCATTAACTTCTTAGAAATCAATTCCTCAATCAGCTCTATAATTGATAACCCTATAGTTTAATATAATTACATGAGAATCAATCTTATAGTAGACCTACTATATTTAAAATAGTAATGATAGGGATGAGAGAGTAAATTAGATGGCCACCTCTAGTATGGAGACGGTGGTGGTGGTGGAAAGTGCACCGTGAAGATGGTGTAAAGATGGCCAAGTTGGGCATTGACCACTTGAAATCCATGTACACCATTATTATTTATCATTTGAATTTCTTCACTCAATTGGTCAAATCGACCGTTGGCATTATTGTTTTTGGTCCGCACTTGCTCATTCATCATGTCGAAGCGACTCGGTGACATTCATATAGAAGTCATCTAGTTGTGCCACCAATTGTTTCACTCTTTTTGCATATCCACTTGAGGCATTTGCTTTGGCTGCGGATTAGACCTCCTCTTTGCCTTCACCAACGTCAATTCGTCACTAAATACAATTAGCGACGGATTATTTTTTGGTTTTTTTTTTGGTTTTTTTTGTAGTGTATACATGTTTTATGAAAGAAGATTTTTCTTGATTATGAATGCATGGACCAAAATGTAAAAACCTTCTGGGTAGAATTGTTAATTGGTTTCTGTCGTCAGTAATATCTTTTCTTTGGTTAAAATGTCTATAAATATATGCCTATATCGCTCCAAAAAAAAAAATAATAATAAAGATTTTTAGTTAGTGTTTTATCTTCTTTTTATGTTGACTTTGATATAAAGCTAATTATTTATTGGGGAAGTACATATTTCCAAACAAGAGATTAATTTGAGAGGAAAAGGAGGCAGAATTAAAAAGGGAAAAAAAAAAACAAAACATATCCATTCGCATTACAGAAAGACTGTAATAAGCATAATCAAATTCTAATTACACCACCAAAGAAAGAACCGCAGCATTCACTCAAAAATGTTTTAACCCTCAAAATGTAACAATAAACTTGTAGACTAGAAGTACTTGAACATGCAAGGCAACAATAGAGCTGCCAAATGAAAATTTCCACAGTTTTTGACTCTTCACAACAAACAATCAACTTGACAACATTATTCCAAGCAAATCCTTAAAACATAAATTTTGTTGGATCAATCATGACATCAATATGATGCCCAAGCCAGCCTCCCTGAACTCATCTCAGCAAGAGGCATTGGGACAGCTTCTCCTGAATTGAACCAGCCAAGCTTTTCAATTAACTTTTTGGCAAGGTCACCTGCTACGTATGAAACACCTGAAGCCATAATTCCAGTGACAAAATATTGCAGCACAGTCTTGATGTAGTGCTTGGGCGGCTTCTGGATGTAAGCCTTTCCAATGGCTAGTATGGTAATGCATAAAAGAGAAGCTACAGCCACTGCTGCTAGCTTGAAATTCTTGTCATCGGTCTCCATGAATGTGAAGCCATACACTACAGGTGGTACTAAACCAAAAACAAGAAATGATAACAAAGTAATGGTGGCGTGAAGTAAGAAATTCTCTCTCCGTCCCAGCATTTCTTGATAGCGATCAACTTGCTCATTTGTTAGACTGGAGGCTCCTCTAGGCTGCTGATCACTTTTCAAGTCCAAAAGCTGTATTTTTACATGTTGCGGGAATATCTTAGTTTAATATAACATCTACTAGAAATACAAACATATAATAACAAGACTTCCCAATCTCTTATTCCGATCCACTAATTCACTAATGGACTGGAAAAGTTACTTACATTGTGAGCAATAGTGAAAACTCCACCAATCAAGTTTGCCAACGACAAAGCCACAATGCTCACTGAGACCAGAAAATAGTTAATGAACAATACAAGTTCAGACTACTAAAATAATCCTTCATAATCAAGGAAAAGATACTTCTAAGTATGCAAGCAACTATCATGGCAAAAGAAATCAAACACAAGAGTTTGAAGAATACGATGCATTACACATGATAAGATATAGAGAAATTCTGCTATATTCATATGTTTTCAGAAAGTTGGTTGGTGTTCTTATTTCTTAGTATATATGCTTCCACTCCAATCTAACTTAAGAATAAAATTCTACTTGAGGTTGTTCATAGTTCAGGAAAACAAGAACAACAAAATATAAACCAAATATATTTGAATAGTGGAATGATCCAAATATATTAAGAAATATCATGATAATAATCAATTTATAAATATCAGATAATGAAGAAACAAGGAAAGAAAAATCCAATTTATACAATTTGGGGAGGAGTACTGTTAAAAAACAAAAACATGATTCTGCAACTTACATGTGGGAGCATCAGCACTAGCAGCAGATGTCACAACACTTAGACTTGTAATTGATTCAACCAAACCGCCATATACAATACTTTTCACTATTTCCAATTTCTTAGCACCCCTTGGTTCAGAATCTGTTATTCCCTCAGTTGAATCAACAATGATTGGAGGCTCTGCTTCAGGCCCTGATGCAACAAGTGCTACATTAGGTTTTTTTTTTTTTTTTTTTTTTGGTTCTGAAATATTTTACATTCGAGAGACTGATCTGTAAATTCAAAGAATTATATAGTAACAATGAAATCGGAAATAGGTATTTTCAAGGTTAAAATGAAAGATAAACAGATATACTACTAATATTTTTAAGGATAATCAATATTAGGGATTGGCACTGCTGCTAGACTGGTTGCATGCATAAAGCTGCAGTACGTATATGCTACAGCAAGCAAGTCAATAGCAATTCAAATCGCCAAATGAGATAGTGTTGAGAACTAATTTCTTTATTCTTGCGGCCATTCATACCTCTTCCTCCATCAATTATAACTTCAGGTAGTTTAGAGTCTTGCTTTGAGGGGGCTATATTATTCCTGTCAGCTTCCTGGGGTGCGTCAACAGGTGATAGAAATTGGTTTATCGCTGAAGCATTGGGATCTTCATCGTGTACTTTTTCACTAAATGGAGCTTTGTTTTGATCAAGTGGCGGTGTTCCACCAGATGGAGATTTGTATGTTGATGAATCAGGTGGTGGAACTTGCACAGTGTTAGTTTCTGGAGCATGATCAACCCATTACGTGAAACATATATAGGCAAAAGCTAAAAAAGTGGAAAATTAATGCACTAGCATTGCTTAATTGAGATCACCGAGACTAAAAGAGCAATTGGTTGTGGAAAATAGCTCACCGCATAGATGAGGAAAATCAGATCAATTACATAATAATTAAAAAAAATGGAAATGGTATCGATGTTTGAAAATATTGCATAAAATATATCACCTTGCTCATTCAGTATAGCGCCATGTTGTGCTACCACCTGAGGGAAGAACCAATTGCCTGTTGGATAAAACAAAAAGGTTAAACTGGAGCATTTTTTTATATCTTAGCTTGGGAAGAATAGAACTTGAAAACGCCATTACATACAAAAACTATTCAAAGAATAGCAAGTAGATCAGTGATCATTACGAGATGCATGTGATGTGATATATACAGAATCTTTGACGAGATTGCATGAAATACAAAGATAATTAAGCATTGAAATTAATAATCCAATCAATGCCATCATCATCCTCTGTAAACAATGTTCCAGAATATATAATGTCAAACTGTGGCCATATTGTGGCATGCATGATGGAATGGAGAGCAGGCTATCAACAGGGATAATGGAAGATATACGTATATCCATTACCGATTGGTGTGAGAAAACTGAAGCATGTTGTGCATCTGAATTTATCATCTGGCTCAGGGCGAATTACAACCTTCTTGATGCAAGCATTACAGTTAGGACAGTAGAATTCATGTGCAGCAGGCTTCTCAAATACCCTATCAAGATACAGTTCCGCGACATCTTTGACGAGGCTAAGATCTTCATGTCTTGTTGTCCTGTGGTTGGGGGAACTGATGGGTACAATATCAACACCTGTACCTTTCAATCCAGGGAATCCATCAGTAGATTCAGTGCCTGAAACCACATGCAGTAGACAAAGGATTTCAATTATTGTAAAATCTATATATATATATATATATATATATATATATATACGTGCTTTGCAATTGGATGAACGATCATCCATTTGATGAATACATAATTATATTCTTATGTTCGCTTATAAAGGCTTGTAACATGGTGAGCCACCATCATAAGCAAAGGAATGTGAGCATTTGGCCACTGGTTCAGCTCGATCCTAGCTATAACGGTGAAGCCTAGTTGACGTTTATTATGAATTGCACAAACACCAGCACATTATCCAGCTTCACAACTCAAAACCAAGAAATCATCATGTAAAATTAGCTACTTCTTGCTAAAATTACGTTGGGAGATCAAAGCAAGCTAAAGAATTAATCAAGGACAAATAAATACCCATGATTTCCTAGCCAACTTAGATAATTTTAACGATCTTTAATTTAATTAAACATAATCTAATAAATAAAAAATAAATGGATTCTTCGTCAATATTGTATTTATTTTTTACCAACACGACGTGTAAAATTACAAAGTACATCGTAGATTGATCTACTTATATTTAGAAATATAAATACAAACCGATTGAGTCATTAATCCTGATTTTGTTTTGTATCCTTTATTAAATTTTTGTTTCTGAAAATCATTACGTGTATTTATAATTGTTGTATGTAGCGTCAAAATATATATATATATATTAAAAAAATTAATTAAAGGTCAGCTCAACGAAACACATTTAATCTGTATATATATAGTTGTGGATGCCCAATAAAAGAATTAAAAAAATTTATTCCCATCCATCCTGAAAGAGTATTTGCTGTTGTATGGCGTAATATGATATATGCGTGTCGTTTATCGGTGCATTTATCTGTTGACCAACGCTGTCATTGCGTAGAATTTATTGAGGAAGTGATTTGAAATGCCTGAATTATCGGTTACAGTTTGAATAAAATAGTAAGTAAAAATAAAAGATAATGCTGAAAATTATAAGAGGTCTTTACTTCTTCTTCTTCTTTTTTATTAAATAATATGCCAATCTGTGTAGGTGTATATAAATTTAAAAAATGGTAATATTACATTAATTTTGAAAGATCCATCGTAGATTAAAATAATAATAATAATGAGTATGTCACATCATTTAGCTAATAACAAAAATTAGTAAAAATCTCTAAGTACTCCTGGCTAGCATTCTTGAATTTTAATTCATTTGAAAATTAATTTCTAAATTTTTAATTTTTAGATTTAATCTTTTTGAATTATGTTTTTTTAAAAAAAAAATCGAATCTTTATGTTAGATTTTGTAGCTAGGACTCCATTCATTAGTTAAGAGATTTTGCATCACATTCTAATTGTAATTTTATTACTATTATTCTGTTTTTGTAGAATAAAATATTTAAAATTAGTAATTTAATAGAATAAAATAAAATAAATCTAGAATTAGAATTAAAAGATCTTTTAATGAAGAGGTTTCAAATGAAATATAGTTCAGGAAAGTAAAATCCAAAAACAGAAATCAAGGAAGCGATTCTCCATTTGAAGTTCAGGAAAGACGACACTCAATTTAGGCAGAAAAAAATAACTAGAGCCGATGACCATTAATATTTTACCCTCAGTAGCATGCAATCTCATATAAATGTATCTGATATCAAAGTTCAACTAAATTTTTTTACCTATGTATAGTCAGTAAATTTGTAACTCAGGTCTCCTTAATTTCCTCCCGTTTATAACATCCGGTCAAATTTTCCTTCCTGTTTTATATAGGATTCAACCCAACTTAAACCTGTTGTTTGCTAAATGTGTTTCATACAATTAAAGTCAACAAAAGCTCATTATAACTTTCAGAGGCTCTGCAAAAGTTAAGCAAATAAATGTAACTCAGGCTCTTTTGAAGAATGGCCTCCTCTCTGCCAGATTTCTCAAAGAAAGACCCTCGGCTATCTAATATAATGAGCATACCATATATTGCCACTACAAATGAATATACAAACCAGCATAATAATCAAATCGTCAAAAGTCAATGGAACCTAGCTAGGCACCTAGAGCTAGCCTGCAGATAATAAATTTGACCAGCAAGATAATAAATTCAAATTTTTATATATATAAAAAATTCTTTTAATAGTTTTATTTGTTTTATGTATTTGACAGAGGAATAAGAGATTAACGTATATTTTAAATTTTAATTTGGGATACCTTAAAGGGTTAAAACAAAAAAATAGAGAGATCTTTATAAGATTGAGTATGAATGAGAGATGCAGTACCAGCTAACTTCTCATTTCTCCTTCATTATTAGTACGCAAGTCAATTAATGCATGTCCTGATGTTATGTTCTTGACAAAACAATGTTTATGCGTTCGGCTCGGATCCCATTAGTACTAAGCAGAAAATAATAAACTAAGGTGTTGTTTGATAATCAAGAATAAAGTGATGGGAATGAGAATACAGGAATCGAAATGAAAATTAAATAATCGAAATGGTATTTGTATTCCAATACCGTGTTTGGAATACTAATAAGGAATCGAAATGTAATTTAAATTTTTTAATACTTGATTTTGTATATAAATATAAATAATGATTAAAAAATAATTTTAATATCCGAATAGTTATAAAAATAATAAAGGTGATGGTAGTGATTGTGGTGGTTCTAGTAGTAGTAGTAGTGGTGACGATGGCGGTAATGATGATGGTTGTGATTGTGATAATGATGGTTGTTGTGGTGGTGGTGGTGGTGGTGGTGGTGGTGGTTGTGATAATGTTAGTAGTGGTAATGGTTGTGGTGGTAGTGATGAAGATAGTGGTGGTGGTGGTTGTTGTTGTGATAGTGGTGGTGGTGGTGGTTGTGATGGTGGTGGTGATGAAGATAGTGGTGGTGGTGTTTGTGGTTGTGATAGTAATGGTGATGGTAGTTGTGGTGATGCTGGCAAAAGTAGTTAATAGATAATAAATAAATAAAATATATTATTATTTTTAAAAAAATTCATTCCCATTCCTTGTTTTTTATTCCCACATTTTATGTGGGAATAAAGTTGTGTGTAAATTTTCATTCTCATTCCCACTCTTCATTCACATTCTCACTTCATTCCTTTTAACCAAACAGCTACAATGTGGGAATAAAACTTTCATTCCCATTCTCATCACTTTATTCCCGATTACCAATAATAAACTAAGAGTAATTAATTACACGTACCCTCCTCAACGCCGATCTTCTTTTTTTTTTTTAGTTACAACCGTGATTTACAGTTGTGCCTTTTCCTTGATAATTATAATACATCTCCGAAGTCATCATCATCCTCGATTATACCTTTATCATCTTTATCATTCTTCAAAAAAAAAAAAAAAAAAAAAAAAAAAAAAAAAACTCTCCCTTGCCACATTTCCAACTTACTTGTGACCATGTCATGTGATGCATGCTATATTTGCTCGCTAGGTTCAGAACAAATATGATCTTTTAAGGCTTTTTTTTTCTCTCTCTCTCTATTTTTGGTTTGGTTTTTAACGAAATAGTGTCCGTATAAATATACTCGATTATATGTCATTTAACTATTAAATTTATTGTATACACACATATGAAGTTATTCTATTACACCTAAATCTATGTGGAAACTTAATTTAAAATACCACAACGAGTGAACTAATCGGATTTGGATATATTTAAAATATATTAATGATCATAAAGTTCAAATCTTAAGCTAGCAAATGCTGAATGGTTATTCTTTTTACCATAAACTCCAAAGTTTTATAGGACTCTATTTCTTTTTCTTTTTCCTTTGTCGGTGGAAATTTTAATTTGTCATAAGCTAAATGAGAGGAGCTCTTTCATGTTATATAATTCTAACTAAAAAACTATTTCATTAAAAAAAAAAACAAGAAGAAAAACTACATTTATCAAATCTTATTTCATTAAAACCTATTGGATACGTGACCATGGAGGTGAAAATGTTGCTTTTTAGTACATGTGAAAGTACATCACATGCATAAATATATTAAGTTGTCACTACCGGAAAATAAAAATTGCGAGTATAAATATGCGATGATCGAAAAACCCTAGCCGAAAAAGAAATTTTTATGACGGTTTTTAAAGAATCATAGCAAACCGGTCCTTGAAAATGAATTTTAGTGAAAGTTCAATAAACCGTCACTAAATCGTCAAGGAAGACTGAATTTTGTGACGGTTTCGTTGAACCGTCACAAAAGTTATGACTAATTTTGAAATTAGCAACCGTTTATGCAAACCATCGCTAATTTCAGCACATTTAGCGACGATTTTTCTAAACTCGTCATAAAATTTGCTTATTAACGAGGGACTTTAGCGATGGTTTGGATGAATTGTTGTTAAATCACCCAAATTTTTTTTAAAAAAAAATTATTAAAAAACCATTGCAAAATTTGAAAAATTAGCAACGGTTTATAAAAACATCGCTAATTTCATGACCAATGGAGGGAAACAATCATATTTTGAGATTTTTGAATTTTTAACGACGGGACCAAAACCATCGCTAAAAACTTAAATCCCTAAATAGCCTACTACCTCTTTTTTCTCTCATTTTTTTCTACCTCTTCTTCTTCTCCAATAGGTTCGATTCTCTCTCCCTCCTCAATTTCTCCCCTAGCAACCACTCAAACACTCTCTAAATCTCCTTGTTTCTATTCTTTTCTTCTTCCCCTCTCCTTCGCCCTTTTCTTCTTCTTTCTCTCCTTTCTTCCTCCTCCCTTCACCCTCTTCTCCATGACAACAACTCCTTCATAATGGCATGAGCTCCTTCACACATGACAACAACCCATCCTCCTTCTAGCTTAGCGATGGCTACTATGAATTTGGTAACCCATAAATTAATTTATTTTTTCTATTTTTTAATTTTTTATTTTTAATTGTTAATTTTTGTTCTTATTAATTATTTATTAGTTAATTGTTAGTAAGTTTAATTATTTATTCTTATTGTTAATTAATTTAATTTGTTATTTAAATTATTTGTAAAGTGTTAATTTAATAAAATTTGTGTTAAATAATTATGATTTGTATATTCATTGTTAAATTATTTGTTAAATAATATGGTTTTAATAAAATTAAGTTGATTTGTTGGCATTTAAAAAATTAAGTTGTTAATTGTTGTTAAATAAGTGACTAGTTGGTTAATGTTATTTAGTTTAAATTATTTTATTATTATAAATATTTGTTAATTGTTAATTAATTTTATTTTATGTTTAATTAATTGATTAAGTGTTAGTTTAATACATTATATTTTAAATAAATTTAATTTAGTTGTTAATTGTTTATTACTTAATTTGTTGGTTACTTTATTTAATTTTGTTGTTATAAGTATTTTTTATTTTTTAATTAATTTGATTTTTTAAATAATTATTTAAGTGTTATTATAATTAAGTATGTGTTAAATAAATTTTATTTAT